ACACACACTCATACACACACTCATAGACACACTCACACACACACACACACACACACACACACACACACACACACACACACACAGAAATGCAAGTACATCAAAAATGAAATAATACTGTGCAAAGGGCTTAGAGGATAATCCAAGCAAGTGGAGTGTACGACATGGCCACGGGCATTAAATTCCCTCTTCTTTCAGAAAAGTCAAGACTGTACAGTTGGGTCGATGGATGGACACGATCACAAATCTGCTCTTCTTTTTGACTTTTCTTTGTCTAACTTTATTACATTAATTTTATTCCCCTGCTGTTTGTTAGTTTATATGTGTCAATGGCAATGTGGCCTATTAAATTCAAAAGATACTGTCTGCATCTCTGATCTTCAACCACTGATTGGTAGATTTGATCTTGATGTAACAAGTGAGGTTTTACATTGTAGCTCCTCTCAGGTCAGAGCTCTGCAGACCCCTGAAGGGACGTACTCACGTTATAGAGAAGCAGCCMTTCTGACAAGATGCAAGCTCTGATGACTCCACACAGGGAGACACGGGCTTTGATGAAGTTTTTATGGCCCTCGTTAAAGGCTGCTGGGTTCATGCTTTTCAGTCTGAGCTCAATTCGAAACGGTTCTGCCAGTGTTGGCAAACAACTGAACCTGAGGGCCAGTGAGTGCCCCGTGCACTCACTGCTTCTTCCAGTTCAGGATTTGTGAGGCTTTAATGTGTTGTGGCTTCAGCAGACATCACACGGGTTTCAGTTTACATCAGGACTGAGCTCTCTTAGAGCTCCGGGGTGCACCGACAGTGAGAATAGAAACAGAATGGCGATCTAAATCAAAGTTGTGCTTGTCTTCCAATAATCCAGCTCAATCCACAGAGATTATGAAACTGCATTTTTACTACTAGACTAGTTTTTCAGGCTGCTATATTGATGTTCTTAAGTAAAAATGACTTCATTTATTAGATATTTAAATTTAATCAAATATCAGGGTCTATCTCACCAGCTGTGGCTGTTGGGGATGAGTTGATACAAAATTGCGGGAAAACAGGCACATTTTTCGGTTGCAGCTCCACTAAATTCTGAGTGTTTTAAAGTGATCAATCTTTACAAACCACAGCAGGTAGAGCCCACATGGACTGTTTGTATTCCTCTTGTTATTTCAGTCTCAAATTGCAAAGTCAGCYTGATATTTCACCTTGAGGAATATGTCCTTTAGCATCTGAGAGCTCTGAGCCACTCAGCACTTTTTACCCCGGACTCCAGAAATCATTATCAGCCACTGCTGGGTGTTTAAACAGCAACCAAGTTGGTTCTTTGATTTTTTTCYGCCTCCGCTCTGACATCCATAACTCCTGCTGATCTGCCCGAGATGGACACGACTCGAGCCAAGATTCAACCTTTAATCATCCTCTGATGAAGGTGGGTGTTTTTCTCTCACAAGAGAGCCGATGTATTGCATTATTTTGGAGCCCTGATACCTTGAATGTGTTATTTTAAAATTAAAATTCACTCTTCATTTTTTAAGTCAATTTTTTAAGAACTTAAAACGTCAACGATGCTGTTAATTTTACAACTGCAGTTGTGTTAAACAAATCTCTTATAAATGTTTATAGAAAGAAAAAAACTTGTGGGGGTAGTGGTAGCTCTGTCGTCAGTCCTGAGGCTGAAGGTTCGAGRCCAGGTTGCATAAAGCAGCACATCCAGAATAAAACCAAATCTTTCATACAACAGTTGTAGAAGATAAGATTCACAGATCAGACAGGGCAGCCCTCTGAGATCTCTTCTGTGTAGTGAATCTGTTCAWTGCTCTGGTGACATTGTCTTGATAAGCTTTTTTCAAATGGGTGATGTGGAGAAAGAGCTAAATGTCTTCATTCAGGATAGGCTAATGGCTAGCCAAACAACAAACTGATGCAAACAATGCTACATTAGCTAAAATTAAATCTATACATTTTTTCATGTTTGTTTAGTTTGTGGCTAATTTCTCAGAACAGAGCGTGTGCATAGTGTCGATGGTGCCGAAGCTGGGAATGTATCTGTCCAATATAGTCAAGTAGATGTTCAATATTAGTTTTTATCAGAGGTATAAAGCACTTAAAACTAAGTAAATGTATAAATATCTTAACAGAAAATAAATGGTAAAAATTTATTTTAAAGTCATAAAACCGCTGGGAAAGTAAAAGTACTTTTCCACGCTCTCTAAGAAATGAAGTGTTGGATTTTGGTTCCACTGAGTTGAGTAATTGAGCAATTTACTTTACAGTTACTCAGCTCAGTTTAGTGGAACCAGTTGATGTAACTTGATTAAGTAAATTCAACATTTCATTTTTAGAGTGCTTAAACAACTCCTTTTATGATGAGTTTGGTCATGCTTAAATGTGTAACATGTGACGAGTTGTCACATTTTAAAGTAAAAAAGTAAAAGTATAATTTTATGTTTTGAATGTAAAAGTAAAAGTTATGTTTAAAAAGAATACCTGGTAAAAAATACAAGCCCTAAAAAATGACTTAAATGGGACATATGCAAAATCCACTTTTTTAGTTGTTAAAACGTGTTTTGTTGTGTACTTGTTGAGTCTGTAGGAGGGCAGAAAAGATGAATTTAGTCTCTCTTGGTGCTTTTTTTCCTCTGACTTACAACTCAAACATTACAGGACCACAAACACACACCTACCATTCATGCCATTATAGATGCTCCGATGATGAGGTGACAGGTCATCCCCAGCCGGCCTCCTTTGCCCGTCTCTCACGGGGCTGCCAAACTTCACGTGGTCAGGACTCATACCGTACTGGTGCCGATGGGTTTCGGGGCTACCTTGAATCATGCAGCTCTTCTCGTGATGCTCTCCAGTTCCTAAATGCACGTGCCGGGGCTCGGGACTCCCGCAGCCTGTACTGCTGATGCTGCTCCTCTGGTACTTTTGATACAGCTCTCCACTGCCTCCGTGGCCCAGGTAGTTATGCCTTTGGCCTAGCACAAGATCAGAGCTGTGGTGCTTGGGATGCTGCTCYGGACTACGATGGCCTATGTTCCGTCCGTATTTTTCTGGACTCAGGCCCCGCATGACTCGACTGTGGTCAGGAACCGATATGGAGCCGCAGCGGGGCCGGGAGAGCTGCGGCAGCGTGTACGGATACTCCAGGCTTGTGCTTCGGTGGCGCCCAGCCGGGTGCTCGGGACTGGACACCTCCCTGTCTCCAACACTCACTCCTACTATTCCACTAATGCTGCTACACCGGGGTTTGTGCAAAAGTTCAGGACTCCCTTTTTCCACACTACTACCAAGCCCTCCCACTCCTGCAGCCAGGTGGGCCTGCTTGTGGTGGGGGTGATCGGAGCTGTCGGCACTCCCCGCGCTGGAGGTGCTGCTCCCATCCCCTACATCTCTCATCAGCAGCCCCTGACCCGGCACCAGCAGCAAGCTGTTCTGGCTGTCTATTGAGTTACGGCATCCCCCCATCCCTACAACCCCTCCACCGCCACTTCCCCCGACTCCTCCTCCTCCGCCTCCCACCACCCCCTTCTCCTCATCCAGCAGCAGGCAGAGCTCCTTCAGCTCCTGGTTTTCCCGGATCACCTCTTCCTGTCGGAGCTCCAGCTCCTTGAGCTTCTGGAGGTAGAGGGTCACCTCTTTGCGCATGATGCTGGCACTGTAACGTCCGAGACGCTGCCACTCCCTGGACACACGCTTGCCTTTCTGACGGTCGTCGTCTAAGAAGCAGCACAGGTCCCGCAGCTCTCGATTGTCCTCCTGCAGCTTCTGGTTGACGTCCTGAGAAAAGGGAGAGAACTATGAGTTACACTGTGTGACACTTGAGGACATGACACTGCAAACCAAACAAACAATTAAACATTTATTGAGCATTCATTGAAGGAATGCCTACCTGTTTGCTGTCAGTTTTTATCTATAATCATCTTTGATATGAAATCACAGCTGTTTGATTCAACCTTATAATGATGTTAAGAGCAATCATGAAATCTGTTAGTGCTCAGAAAATGTGTCATGGATGACACTCAGCTACTACCACACCAAAATATAGCCTAATACAGGGCTATACAGCTAAATTGCTYYGCAGGGCCACAKTTAATGCAGGCCAGCAGCACAGGGGCAGAACATCCAGCAAGTAAAGTCGTTATGTAAATAAACCAAGTATTATAAAGACCTGTCACATTTGAAATAGCTAATTTTGCTGCATTTATTCATAAATAGGCCTACAACATGAAAAACCCCTGTGTAATAAAAGTAGTGATGACAAAACAATATCAAAAACAAAAATAACACATTATGTCTCCTATTTAACATAATGTTTTGACATCTCTGACTTGCCAAATCTTTAAACCATTTTTATTTATCTTAGTTTTATCTTCCTGTAGTTTTAAATGTCTTGGATGTTCAAAAAAATTTTTACCAGCTTTTAGACAAGATTCTGACATTTCTGTAGATACACACATGTCTAACATGTCTAAAAGAACTTATAGGAATTAAATTAGAAAACCAGGGGTTTGAGCTTGATGAATGAACCAATTGGTGGGCTGAACTTTGGTTACTTGTKGACCGGATCTGGCCCAYGGGCCACCAGTTGAATAGCCCTGGCCTAATCTCTTAAAAGTGACTAAAGTAGAATAATTTTAGTGGCCATTTTGAATTGAGTTGACACCAAATACATGTCTATTCRACAATTACTGGCAAAAAGCAAATCTARATTRAATTTTGTTCTTTATGAAATATTTTACTAACAGACAGTGTTGATTGATTTTAACAGTCAATGACTAAGTTTTAAGCAGAAATTTTGCACAATGCATAATGTTCAGATGTGGATGGTGCTCAGCTGCTAACACACTAGATTTTTGCTCAAACCTGCAGAGGTGTAGTCTTTTTGATATTTATATATAAACTTGGTTGTGGTGGACATCTTGAATGAGCTTGACTCCAAAAGTTAATCAATTAGATGTAAATCCAATGATTACTTTGAGGGTTTATTGGTTGGATGAGATATTTTACTAACAGAACATGCACACACACAAGCAAAAACATTATATCTTCTTTGGCAACAGATGATGGATCATTTATAGGACTTTTGAAAACAATCCCCTTAATGCATATGGACAATAATATCCTGTCTGAGAAGAAATGTGGCAAAATTATACAGAAAAGGGATGACACATGCTACACTGAGTCGTTTTAATCAGCCCTTCATCACCTCCAAAAGACATCCTTCTTCCCTTCAGTAACTATTTAACTCTTCCCTAAATCCTCCTCCCCTCTCCGTCAAACCCTGCAGCTTTTTCAGTGTAATTAGGCCGTATGGATRTGTAGAGGTGACAAGGTCTCCAAATGAGGTAAATGATCCCAATGTGCTGCCGAGGCTACCTCAGGCAGCTTTAACTGTAAACACTGCACACCGAGCTGCATTATCCTTATTAGAAAAGGAACAATGTAAAAGTTATGAAAAGAAAGACAAACTCTAAATAGCTTCAAATTAAGCGTGACTGATCTGAAGTCGAAAATTTCAGCATGCATAAGATAAAAATCTCACAACTGATGTTGAGGAATTTTTCAGAGAAAGCAGTAGACAGACTGAGAGAGCAAGTGAGATTTATTCAGCTTCAGCATTAGAGCAGCATTTTTTAACAATCAAAGTCTGCACTGAAATGAGCTGAAGGTCACTTTGACAAACTCTGAATTGAGAAACACTTGTTGTGAATTTTGCTCAAAAGCAGCCTTTTCTAGCTTCATAAAGTAGACGAGGCAAATTTCTGCCTGCAGGTTTGCTTTAGGCCTACATAAAGGCAAAAATAAACTTCTATCATCTCACACCGAGCATTCCTGGCACCGTGCGCGCTCTCAGGTGCGCTCCAAACCTATGATCTCATCCTTCCTCAGTGTGCGCGCGCCCCTCACCTTCAGCCCCCTGATCTCGTTCAGGTGCAGCTGGAGGCTGCGGTTGACCTCTCGGATGAGATTCCCGTGGTCCAGGATCACGCTCATCTTGTCGGCCTCGGAGCGCCTCAGCCGGCGCACCAGGTCCTGTTTGGTCCACTTCAGCAGCTCCTCGTCGCTCAGACCRGAGATGTCCTCTGCTGGACTTTCGGTCTTCGCTATGGACAGCTGGAGCTGGGGCTGGGGCGGCGGAGTTGCCTTTTCCATTGGCACAGCTCCTCCGGCACCGACAGACGGGCTGAAAATAACTTGGAGGTTCGGCACCGAGCTCTGCTCGCATCCGCTTCCCCTGTCGGCTTTAAGGACGGAAATCGGTTACCGCTCGGAAACCGGTGGCATAGTTCGGCCTTTCTGTAGCTCTCCACTCCTCCACTCTGCCGTAGAGCAACAGCTGACGGTGCCGGTGTTGGCTGAGAGCGGCGGAGGAGAGAGGATGCTGCGCTTTCTGTATCACTGCATCATCCTCAGAGCCGGAGGTAGCGCGTGCAGCCGAGGAGAGGCGCGGTCTTCATCCAGACTCCAAATCCAGTTGGGAAGTGGGGAAAGCTTCAGCAAAAGACACACCTGGTGCTCGGAGCTGGGAGAGACAGGAAGAGTGTTCTGAGCACAGCAGAACCAGAGGAAACMGCTCTGCCTTTCTCTCCTCCTTTCTGCCTGATCTCTCCCTCCAGAGGTTTGCCTCTCAACAAAAATACACATTTGCTGCAGCGACATCTAGAGCTCAGTTCGAATGCAGTTTTTTTAGTAATAATTAAAATAAAACCAGTTTCCTAATGTGAGATACATTATTTTAACTCAATTACTTTCTAAAAGTTGCAATAATCTCACGATTGTAACAGTAACACCTATTATTTCCAGCAAGTTTCATTCAAACTCGTCATGACAGAACTTCAAAAAGTTCATGAGTTTCTGTATTAAATTCTAATGCAATGTTTAGCACTTATAGGAATAGTTATCAAATATTACTTCATCTGTTAAATAACTGAGTTATCAGTTTTAATATTTTCTAAAATCAACTGTGCAGTCTAAAGACATAATTGTAGATGTGCATGCATCAGTTGTGGATGATCATTTTTGAAAATTTAATTAAAATGAACACAATTATTACCAATAAGGAAACAAAAACTATAATAAAAAAGCAAAATAATAATACCCCTGCCCTCTTGTGTGCATGCTATCATGATGTAAAGAGGAATTTCCACGTATGCGAATATTAAACTACATTTCCCAGAAGTCATTACCATTATTTCCGTAGTGCGCTAGTGTGACGTCAAGGAAGACAGAGCCAATAGGAATCTCGTGAGCTCTGAGTAACACGTCGCTCTAGTAAAGTGAAGAACCGGCCGGCTGACAGGAGTGATTCCTTCACCGACGCCTTTCTGCCATCTACATCCGTCTGTTTTTAACCTCCAAATGCTGTAATTCATCTCCAACACAACAGTCTGTTTACCTGCGGTCTAGTCTTGAAGCCGACTTGATATAAAAGGTAAGAACTCGGCTTAATTTTTGTCGAAATAGTAGGTCGCCCATTTTTTTTTTAGCTTCCAGAAAGGCACAGGAAGTGGGTTAATGCTACATTCCGCTAGCCTGGCTCAGCCGCAGTTCAAGGTGGTGTGTTCGGCAGCCGAAACAGCAAGGAGAGTTGTAATATTTTGTTGATAATATGTCAATAATTAAAACATCATTTAAGGTTGAATGCATAGAACAACCGAGTTCAGATGAATGAGTCCAGACCGATSAGAACAGAGTCAGAGAGAACAACCCTTTGCTCTCTTATCAGGGTTGATGTACGTGGCTTGTAGTTTGTATTATTGACCGAGTATATCCAAGGGTTTACTTTTATCCCAGAGCAGGAACTTTGTTTGTGTTCCCCTGTACTTTCCCCAGTGCAAAGTAAAGGTTTTGTTTTTATGTTTGCACATTTCACAATATATTAGTTTACATAAGTTGAGAGTGTAAGAAGGGTTGTATTACAGCTGAAAGATTTGTTGTTTAATTAATTAATTTGGCAACATAGTGAATAAATGTACTATTATTGCCAAATAACGCCAATAATACTCTTTTTATTAAATTGTACTATAAGACATCAGTGTTAATATTTTTGTTCAAGTTCTGATTTTGTTTAGAGTCAGACTGAAAAGTGACAAATATATCAACCAGAGAAAAAGGGTCATGTTGACATGTAGTCCAGAAGTTAAAATAAGTTTCTGATGTGTTCAGATTATCAGTTTTGACAAAGTGAGCACATATAGATTACATTGTAAATTTTTAAATTCTAGATCACCTTTTTGACTTTTTTTTAATGTTGTGCAATGTAATTGTACAATGAACATCTAATCCGCTCATAGAGTATTTCTGTTTTTCGTCATCAAACGTCATCAACGTTTATGCGTTCATACCTTTTTGCTGAACAATCAAAAACAGAGTTTAACATCTTGCTGTAGTGGAGGTTTGTTAGTTTTTATTTTTTTTTTTTTTTTCAAAAACTGTTCCAAGCCTTTAGCCGTCTAAACTCAAGCTTCTACTTACATAGTGATTGCAACTTGAAACCTTCCACCTTCACTGATAATAATTAGAAATAAAATTACAATGTGCATGCTTTGCTGTCACATTGTTTATTCACTAGCCTACAGTAGTTTAGACCTCCTGTTCCTAAAGTTGAAGTCAGGACCCCGCTATGGGTTGTGAAACAAGTGTGGGGCCTTGAAATGTATTTTCAGAAATTTAATCATATTTTAAGATAACTACAGCTTTTTACCCTGTGTTTATAAATGATAAGCAGCCATAACTTTAAAAATTGTTTAGGCTGTCTTTGACTTTTGGCTTATTAGTGATGTTTGTAAAAGTTCCAAGTCTTTGCAGATGTTTTGCTTTTGAAATGCTTCTGAAATTTGCTAATTTTGTGGTTCCGTTTTAAAACTGTCATGGTTGCTGAAGTTACTAAGTGATGMTTTGCAAAGGGCGTCACTAATGTTTCAATAGGACATAGCAATGCATGGACAGCCTAAAATAAATAGTACTAATCAAAGGTTTGGGCACACCTACTTATTCATTTTGGGAATTCTTTTCATTGCTCTCGTCATAGAAACTTGCTGAGCAGGTTTTCTGACGGCGTATGCGTGCGTCAGGCTTTCGGAGGTTCAAGTCTTAAATTAGCACAAAAAAGGAAGGATCACAAGTATATAGAGGATGTTCACTGTAGTTGGAAGACAAGAGCATGTAGAGTGAATGGAGACAGAACCACAGAAAGTTTGAAGCGACAGAGTTTGGATTACTGGAATCACAGCAGTTGTACTGAGTTCTTCTACTGGACTGATTGCCTCACTGAGGTGTGTTTAACTTGTGTTTTTCTGCTGAAGATCAGTGATGTCGACCTACCAGGAGTTCATCCAACAGAATGAGGACAGAGATGGGGTGCGATTCAGCTGGAACCTTTGGCCCTCCAGCCGTCTGGAGGCCACTAGACTAGTCGTTCCAGTCTCTTGCCTCTTTACACCTCTAAAGGAAAGACCGAATCTGCCACCTGTTCAGTATGAGCCAGTTGTGTGCAGCCGGGCAAACTGCAAAGCTGTGCTCAACCCACTGTGGTGAGTGTTACAGAGTTTCACATGTCTGCACTGTGGGAAATACCAGTACTTTTTATCTTTTAATTTAGGGTTCTCAGGAAATCTAAGAAACCCTGAAAAATTACTTTTACATTGTCCAAACAGGGAAACACAGAATGAGTGTTGAACGCAGGGAGTTTTAACATTGACCTTTTGATGAAAAGAGGATGTTTCTGAGATTTTGATGAGTACATGTATTTATGGTAGTATTCTAGTRTTGAGTCCATGTTCTGGGTGTTTCGTGTAATAAAATAACCACAGGAACTTCAGGTTTTACTCAAGGAATTCTGTTTTCATGAACTTCTGAGAATTAGCTTATTTTGAGAAATCAAGTTCTATTTCTTTATTTGTTTCCATATATTTTTGCTATTGTTCAGCCTTTTATTTTGAAATTTTGTCTTTTTTTTCCATATCATTTGAATACTTACGAATTGTATGGATTACTAAATTAAATAAATCTAAAAGTATAGTTAAATTTAAGACTGTTAATACTTTTTTTTGCAAAATGCCAAGTTCCTATGAGTTCAACACATACTACACTACAATATTATTTAGTTTTACTTATGAAAGCTAAACGCAATCATTTTTTAAATTCTTTTACAGTCAAGTTGACTTCAGAGCCAAAATATGGGCATGCAACTTCTGCTTTCAGAGGAATCCTGTAAGTACAGTGGTGCTAATATGTCCTTTTTTCTGTCAAAGGTTCTGTCAAAATGACTTTTAAGCTTCTCATATTAATGTGGATTGTCTACATTCCTTCATTGGGTTGTGTAACCTGGATTTTTGTGTCTGTGCAGTTTCCTCCCTCCTATGCAGGGATATCAGAGGTGAATCAGCCAGCTGAACTCATGCCACAATTTTCTACCATTGAGTACATTGTCCAGGTAAATGCCAAATGGATGGCACACAAGTACATAATGTGCTGCATAAAGAATGTTAATTAAACTTTATTAATAAGATGTTTGTCATTCATCCTGTTGTTACAAAATGAAGCTTGAAACCCTTCCAGATTAACCTTTTCTTTCTCGACTCTTCACAGCGAGGACCCCCGACTCCTCTCATCTTTCTGTATGTTGTGGACACGTGTTTGGAAGAAGAGGACCTCCAGGCTCTCAAGGAGTCCCTCCAGATGTCCCTGAGCCTGCTGCCACCCAACGCGCTGGTGGGCCTCATCACGTTCGGACGCATGGTTCAGGTTCATGAGCTCAGCTGTGAGGGGATTGCCAAGAGCTATGTCTTYAGGGGAACCAAGGACCTCACCTCCAAACAGATCCAGGTTGGTCCAGATCACTTTRAAGAGCAGGGAAGGTTTGTAAACAATATGGGATCCCAAGAAAAGGCCATTCAGAGGGAAATAGTGAAAAGTTTTGTTCTCTGTGAAACAAAAGGCCTAATGTTGTTGTTTTTTTTTTTTTTTTTCTATTTTTCCAGGAAATGCTTGGTTTGACAAAGCCAGCAGCTGCAGGACAACAAGGTCGTCCTCTGGCTCCTCAGGATGCTGCTGCTGCCTCTTGCAAGTATGGATACRCAAGACCACTTCCCACTTAACAATCAGTAGTCCTTTCAGAAAAGCTCGCAGCRATTTGCTGTTTGTTTTTGTGTTAAGCGCTTCGGTTGTTCACCTCCAGGTTCCTTCAGCCTGTGCATCGAGTCGACATGAACTTGACAGACTTGCTTGGAGAGCTACAGAAAGACCCCTGGCCTGTCCCTCAGGGCAAGCGCCCTCTCCGCTCCACTGGTGTCGCGCTGTCTGTTGCCGTCGGCCTTCTGGAGGTACAAACACAAATATGCTGAGAATGACAGTGAAAATGCTTTGTCAGRACACTCCCATGCAAACAGCAGTTTTGGACACAGAAATTGAAACTTCTGTTGCACAAATGGATTATCGGTCATTTTAGTTGTTCTGTGGTAACTTGAACTTTATCCTCTTTAATACAGCCATGCCACATGGCACTGTTCAGAAAGTTACTCACTACCTGATAATCAACAGTAGGTTTGTGTTGTCAGTTCAAAGGGTACTTCCTGTTTGCTTTCTGTCTACACCCCCCACATCATTATCCTCTCTCCTCTCTCTCTCGCTCTCTCTCTCTGATAATCTGTGCGGTTATATAACTGCAAAGTATCACTCTCCAGCTTTGCTGAAGGGAGATGTGCTCAGATTTTTGTTCTTWCTGTGACTCCAGATTCACCTATTTGACCTCACACACAAGTCTTACACATGAAGCAAAGCTGCTAAAAGCTTTCAGCATTTAGAGTCGCCTGGTTTCTTTTTTTTTCATCACTGTTTGGGTAGAACTTATCAAAAAGTCTTATCATATACAGTAAACGTGTTGTTTCTGTAATTGTAGATGTCTTTGTCAAACGTTTCAGCTTGTTGTGGACCTTCTCAGACTCTTGCACTTTGGATTTGATTCTCAGTGTTGATTCTGAGACCTGCCCTTAGTTTAAACAGATTAGTTTACACAGATTAGTATGCTCTTAATTTAAATCTGTTCTTTTTTTCTCGGATGTGCAGAATACAGCACTGATGGAACAAAAATATTTCAAGTGGACTAGAATAATAAAAAAGCTCATGTTTAAAAATCATCTTTCAAATTTTATATTGAAGTTGTATTTTTGCACAAAATATTGATTACCATATTTATTCATGTATAATACGATCTCAAGTATAATACGATCATCATTTTTTGATCTAACAAAGCAAAAAAATCTAATTATCAATAAACTGTGTATAATACTATCCCCCATTTTATGGATGATTTTTAGGGTTAAATTTCTAGTATTATACATGAATAAATACAGTATTTGAATGCATTCCTGACTATCAACCATTTAAATGTATTCAATACACAAAACAACTCATTATGTCAAACAATATTAAGACCAGACTTTTCTATAAACATTTAAGGTGCACTGATCTCGTATAATGGGACCACTGAAAGCTAACTCCCTCTGTCTTTTCCTCAGGGGACATTCCCCAACACAGGGGCTCGTGTGATGCTTTTCATTGGCGGGCCACCCACCCAGGGACCAGGCATGGTGGTGGGAGACGAGCTGAAAACCCCCATCCGCTCCTGGCATGACATCCAGAAGGACAATGCAAGGCATTTGAAGAAGGCCACAAAGGTGACAAATTCACAAAATGCTGTTTAAATCCATATACTTGTATTTGTGTTGCAAATATATCAACTTCATGAGTATTCTGTGATGAATGTATTTCATGTCTTTTCTCCTTTTTTATATTTACTTATTTATTTATTTATTTATTTATTGGTTTTCCACAGTTCTTTGAAGGCTTGGCCAACCGGTCTGCAGCAAATGGCCACAGTGTTGACATCTATGCCTGCGCTCTCGACCAGACTGGGCTGCTGGAGATGAAGTGTTTGTCTAATGTCACAGGGTACGCTAGCACTCGCTCTTTCATCATCAAGTGTTTGTTTTTCTTCGTAGGTATAGCTAAGTAATGTCGTGTTTTATGTTTCAGGGGACACATCGTGATGGGAGACTCTTTCAACACCTCTCTGTTCAAACAAACCTTCCAGAGAGTCTTTAGTAAGGACTACAATGGAGACTTCCGGATGGCGTTTGGAGGTGTCTTAGAGGTCAAGGTAAAAAAAAAATGTCACTGTTCCCAGTCAAAAGTGCAATATAAATTTAAATCTTTGATAAATTTATTTTTTAAAGGTTAATGAGAGATTTTGTCTTTGTAGACCTCCAGAGAGCTGAAGGTTTGCGGGGCCATTGGACCCTGTGTTTCACTCCACTCAAAGGGTGCCTGTGTTTCTGAGAATGTAAGTCCCTACCACATGTAACACTGAGGAATTCAGATTCCTTACACCATGAATGTAACCTGAGAGCTATCCATTAACTGGCATTCACCACAATGTCTTCTGTGTTTTGTGTAGGAGATGGGTGTCGGTGGCACAAGCCAGTGGAAAGTGTGCAGTCTCAACCCCTCCACGACTCTGGGCATTTACTTTGAAGTTGTGAATCAGGTAAAATAAGTTTTTATTTWTTTTATTGTTTGCTTTTTTTAGATGACACGATTACAAAGTCATGCTGAGAGCATAATTTAGAATGGCAGCAAAGAAAACATTAGCTGTGAGAATAATGCCGTTCTTTTACTAAAACTCCTCAAACAATGGCTTGTTGTGTTTCTCCTGCAGTGAAGGGCGATTTGTAAAGACATGCAAGGGAGGAATAATTGTTTTGTGTTTCTGTGTGTTCGTAGCACAATGCACCAATCCCTCAGGGCGGCCGAGGAGCGATCCAATTTATCACCCAGTACCAGCACTCAAACACACAGAAGAGGATACGGGTCACCACCATCGCCCGGAAGTAAGACTCTGATTTTTTTTTTTTTTTTTTGCTTAAGAAGGACAACGTGTGGCCAAGTTCAGACCTTCATTTTACATTTGTCTTGGATGATTTGATTGCAAATGATCAGTTCTGATTGAGTTCATACCTGAAGATGTGTTTGTTTGGATGCCAGGTCTCTACAGAGACACACCCAGCAACATCACACACTAAAACAATGACATGAAAGRTGTTACTTTGACAGAAACACATCCCAGAGTCATTTGAGTCACATTTTTGTAGAGTTCTCTCTGGGTGAACTTATTTTCATAACAGTTTTGATGTTGGGGAAATAAAATAAACACAGAGCTCAGTGTCACAGTAAAGACTGAAGATTTTCATCTGTAGAAATAGAATAKAATMGATCTTTATTGTTRTTGYAACAAGTACAATGAATTTAGGTGTTCTCTTATGGCGTTGGAATATAAGCTGTAAAGAAAAGTAAAAATATTTACAATATCAAGATCTAAAGAGACATTAAAGAATAAAAAGATAAAATAATGGCATCGTTGTACAGCATTTTTCATATTTAACAGGGTTTTTTGTATGTGTTTGCACTGCAGGATTATGTTGCGTTCAATGCCCTGCTGGGCTGTGGGAAATTCGCTCCTGTGTTCAGCGCTATCAAAATGCAGTCTGGTTGGTCAGGACAGATTAAAATACCAGATCAGATCATTCTGCTATTTAGTGTTATAGTATGTTATGTTCTTAATTAACCATTTCCTTGTATCGAAAAGGTATTAACATAATGRAATACAAACTATGAAAATCAGCCTTTGAAGTTAACACCTCCACACATTCCGTCTCTTAYTAGAGATTTGCGTCTACGAATAAGCCGTAAAGATATGCAAGTCATGTGAGCGCATAATCTCACCACACCCATGCTCACCTGTGCTTCTCCTCTTTCCCCCCGTCCTGCTTTCTTCTCCCTCTCTCCTCTGCCTTTTGTTGACTTTCTGTGAACTACTCAAGCTGGGCGGATGCTCAGTCTCAGATTCAGCACATCGAGTCCTCGTTTGACCAAGAAGCAGCCGCGGTGCTCATGGCTCGACTGGGAGTTTTCCGGGCAGAGTCGGAGGAGGGACCAGATGTTCTGCGTTGGCTCGACAGGCAGCTCATCCGCCTGGTGAGTGACGATCCCACGCACCAGCCAGTCCTCAAGACAATGGCACTACATAATTGTCATAATTATATAACATATTTTGTTAATTTGTCTTTTGTTTTTGTGGGTTAGTAGGTTAACCAAAATATCTGTGAGTTTTTTGGTATGTTCAGTATTTAAACAATGTTTCACCACMCATCATTTCAGTGTCAGAAGTTTGGCCAGTTCAACAAAGATGATCCTACATCCTTCAAACTGTCAGAGTCCCTGTCCCTCTACCCACAGGTAAAGCTGCCCTCTAGTGGAAATAAAAGAAATCTACTCAAACTTTTTGTTTGTTGAAAGTTAGTTGGATATTTTTCATATGGTAATTTTATTACTTACCTCATCAATCATTAAACCTTTTCTCCTCCACTTACAGTTTATGTTCCACCTTCGGCGGTCTCCGTTCCTGCAAGTGTTCAACAACAGTCCAGATGAGTCGTCCTATTACAGGCACCACTTTGTGAGACAGGACCTGACCCAGTCCCTGATCATGATCCAGCCTATCCTCTACGCGTATTCCTTCCACGGACCACCAGAGGTCAGTCTCATTCTCCTCTTATTGCTATCCCACTGCTAGCAGAGCAGCTGAGCCTTTTCCTAACGGGAGGTTTTTGATGCAGAAGTGTTGTAAATGTGTGGTTTGTTTTCCACAGCCGGTGCTCCTGGACAGCAGCAGCATCCTGCCGGACCGAATCCTGCTGATGGACACTTTCTTCCAGTTGGTTATTTACCATGGAGAGGTGAGACACTGATCATAAACATGTCAGTTTGTCGAGTTTTAAACACCTTTTTAAAAAAATCAGTTTATCTAGCAAATGTCTTATTTCTTTCTGCTTAAGGCAAATTGATGCACGCTAAAATTKACCTTTTTTCTTCTGTCTTTCTTTCAGACCATAGCCCAGTGGAGAAAGGCAGGCTACCAGGAAATGGCGGAGTATGAGAACTTCAAACAGCTGCTWCAGGCTCCTCTGGATGACGCTCAGGAGATCCTGCAGACCCGTTTCCCCATGCCTCGCTACATCGACACGGAGCACGGAGGCTCCCAGGCTCGCTTCCTGCTCTCCAAAGTCAATCCATCGCAGACCCACAACAACCTCTATGCATGGGGACAGGTACAGYACCAGACATTTTTGGGATTTTTTTATTTTTCAGCTTCCTAATTATGTTTCAGTGTAATGTTAGCTGCAATCTGATGAAGCTAAGTTGGTCAGTTTATTTTTTTCTTATCTCTTTTAATGAAACGAAATGATCAAGATTCACCTTCAAAGCTTTCATAACCACATATAAATTAAATACAAAGTTCTTTTTCCTGTTTTTCTTTGTATTAAAGCAAAAACTTAAAAAATTCCCAGAATTGCCTGAAATGTTTGAAAAACAATCAGATCTAACTTCTTGAAATATTTGTCTCCAAACATGGGTTTATGGATTAGTTAACCTTTGATTATAAAAGGGGGAGATTGAAATCTAAAAACAGCATTTAGCTCTTTATTTCCAGACTCATTGAACTGAACTATAAACTTTTGTGTAAACTGCAGCACGCCTTGCTATAATAAAGGATTGCATGTAGCAATGTGTCCATGTACCAGTTATGAACACATTTATTTGAGAACCAGTTATTTTATTTAACCTTAGTTCTTGTATTTTCATTGTATTCTTTGTTATTGTAGGAGACAGGAGCTCCCATCCTGACCGATGATGTCAGCTTACAAGTCTTCATGGATCACTTGAAGAAGCTGGCTGTTTCCAGCTCCACGTAGAGCCATTCCACTGCAGGAAAGGAGCACAACCTTCTAGGATCCAACAACATTTCCCATATATATATTTTTTGTAAAGAAGCCATACGCCCAGTCTAATGTATGTGCTTGATCCATCTTTACTGTCGTTTGCCTTGACTTGTGATGTTTCCAAAGTGCAGAAGAAGTGAAGTAAAATGAAAAGGGTCAGGGATGGTGCAGTCATGAAAATAAAACTAGTAACAYTTTTGTCATTAAGGATTTATTTATGCAGAATCTGAGGCAGTAGACTGTGTGCATGTGAGCAATATGAAATTCTGCTGTTTTATACTGGTTCTTACCTCTGACTCTATGATTAGACTAATAATATTTCCATTAGTTCCTTGTTTGTCCTTCTGTGTGTGTGTCTGTTGTGTCGGACTGGATTGAAGCTGCTGTGAAATAAGATGCCTGTATTTGTGTTTGCTTTGTCTATAGCTAAAGATGAAATGTTTAGATTTTTTTGTCATGAATAAATTATAGTAGAAACTCTAAATGCTCAAATGTCTAATCGGACTGGACGCTGGGGACTTGTTAATCGGTTTGTTTAACAGTGAGCTTCTTCAAGGATTATACTTCCAACTTTTTCTACGAAAAACTCTGTCAATGAAAAATGAAGATCCACGTTCTGAGGACAAAATCACATCTGCTCAACTGGGACAAAGTCTTTTTTTTTTTGTCCTCAACCAGGCATTAATGTCTATTTTTATCTTGGGACTGTATAAGACATTCTATAGTTTCATCTGGACCTGTTGACCATCTGGTACTTTGCACCCGATCACTGCCCAAGTGTCTTTGTAATCTTAACTTTAATACAGAGCAAAACAGTGCAAAAGCAAGTGTCATCTGATTGGCTGGTTCTTCATAAAGCCCTTCCAGCATGAAACTTATCTGTCCTTGCACCAGATACTATTTTCTGTTTGATAWGGCTTTATTTTGGACATGTATAAATAATACGTAAAACAAATAAAACTTAGTAGCTGACAGTCATTCGCAACACATATTCTCACTGCTAATGCTGTTTTGCCCAACAGMAGAATTCTTCGTTTAAAACGTTAGCATAATAAGTAATATTGTCCTGATGCATCTCATAAGTAATAAGTAATATTCATTCCTTCAAAAAAATGAAATGCTTCTTGAGATTTTATTTATTTCAATAAGATTTCTGACACATTTTATGAATTAACACACCAAGGAGCTCCTTCAGTGTTCACAGGTCGTACCTGATGCGTGCACCAACATGAGCTGCAATCGATGGAAAGCCAGTGCCGACAAATCTACATGGCATTACACGTCAATTTGACACGTAAATGACGCGTCAACAACGCGTCGTTTTCGTGTAAATGATGCGTCAAAAATTTAACACGTATTTTACGCATCAACAACGCGTTGTTTACGCGTCATTTACTTGTCAAATTGATGCATAATGTCACGTAGATTTGGCGGCTCTGGCTTTCCATAGAAACCGACTCGGTTGACGTTTGTATTGGTATCCAATCAAAACTTTGTCCCCAGGCATCTGTTAGCTCACATGTTTCATCTGTTTACTAATATTAGAAAGATGAACGATTGCACGCAGCGTGTTGTCACAGCAGTAGGTGGCACACCCGTTTGAAGCCCTCCCCAAACAATTGTCTTTTTTTTTTCTCATTCATCCCTGCTGATGTAAAGCTCACAAGTGCAATCATAAAACCACTCACTCAACATCTACTGTCACTGTAAGCTGATTTCAGAGCAGACAGTATGATTTCGAGGATCAGTGGATGCCAGATTATAAAGCCTAATCCTCAGGGGCTATGTGTTAAGAGGCAAATTCTACTCTTATCAGCTTTAAGCAGAAGTTGCCGCTGAAATACAAATGAGTTCTGTGTCTTTCAAAAGCTTAGGCCTCACCATGTTCCGCTCTGAAGCCACATATGCTTTAGATGCATTGAAGGGGAAATCAAAAGATGCCACGCACCAGCTTTTAATCTCTTTTGACAYGGATACTTGTGCACAACACAACAAGCTGCATCTAAAGCCACACGTGTTTGCAGTTCACAGCAGAACCGTTACATGGGATTAGAGGCGGCACTGTACATAGATATGATGTGATCTAAAGACAAAATAAATGTATCTTTGTTTAATTTCTGGTTTTACATGCTTGGCCTTCTTGGTGCATGAGAAAGCTGCAGCTGTCCGTGCTACAGTATGAGATTAGGATTGTCCAAATCCTGATTGTTTTACTTCCTGTCTCAYAGCCAATGCTGCAAGTAAATGCGTTGCCTCGTTAGCTTCTATCAAGAAGGAATCAGCTGAYGTTCAGAAAGTCTTATCAAAATGGTGACATTGATAGAAACTTATAAAAGGTAAACCTGAAATACCAATTAAAAAAATGAAAATGCCAAAAAGCAAAGGAAAAGTCACTGAAAAGATAACTTCATAAATGATGTTCTGTCAGCAACAATTGGTTCCTCTAAGAGTTGTTTTTTTCTGGCAGATGTTTTGTWGGTTTAAAATGTGATTAAATAAAGACAGAGGTCAAGCTAGAATCTAAACAAAATGCTTCCTATGAAGAAACCTGAAAACCTATAAACAAAAACATCCTCATAAATCTGACAGACGTATAAAAACTGCTTTTGAAGGGGAGTGTGGGGTTGATATGTGTTTTCCAGGCACAAAGTTTAATTGTATACCACAATCAATTAACTGTGTTACCTTCAGGTGAAAATGCTGTATATATCAAAAAKAAATTAAATTTGCATCAAAGTCTATCTAAACGTCTAGATTTTAGCCTCTGTCTCTTTAAGAACCTCCTACCATTTCTGACACTCCCACTTCAGCACGTTTTTACAACAACGCTTCGAAGGAGAGATGCTTTGTGGGGCAGACTGAAGGGAGGAGCTTTGAGTAAATAGGCGGAGCTTTGTACCAGCAAGTGTTTAGGCAGCTCCACATGGCCACAGGAGATTAAAGGATTTCTCAAACTTGCATGAATTAGTTTTATTTTTTTATGAGAGAATGACATTATAACATGATATAAAGCTAAAAAAAATGATTTTGCATAACCCCACACCTCTTAAATCAGGTTATCTTTTAGTAACAAAAGAAAGTTTGGGTCAGTGATGACCAAATATGTTTCAACATATCATGTGGACGAGTCTCACATTATTTTAAGACTCTTATAAAAATAGTTTCCATGCAGTGCGTGCTGTGTGCATCGCTTCACTGCAGATGAGTGCTTTTCCTCTTCCAGGCTCTGCGGACGTATTCGTTACCCAACACTGCAGCCGCCATCAAACTGCGGGGATTAACTTCTTATTATTGCCACAAACTCAGGAGACAACCTTTGACCATCCTCACAGACGTCACAAGCAGTGACTGTTGCCAAGTCACTGGTGTCCACTGATACTCTGGATGACTCCTGTCAGCTGTTGGCAACAGCCAGCGGATCATTTAAACACACAAAACACTTCTTAAGGTGGGAGATTATGGACCAACCCTAATAGTACTTTGTTTTATTTACTTCAACAAATTTCATCTGTTTATAACAACCTTCACAGCAGATACGACGGTGTTAAATTAACACTATTAACACTAAACAATGTCAAATCCTCGCTCAACAGTGTTAAATCAACACCCAAAATGCCACATTTACTGTTTCTGGTTTACATTGATTTTCTTTATAATTTTAAAATAATGAATAATAATATAAAATTCAATTCCTCACGACTGTTGCTAATGTAATAAATGTCTATTCTCGTCTTCGTTGTGCTGAAGTGAAGAACCTGCAGCAGATTTGTCTTCATCATTTGGAGCTTCTTTAGTGGACAGAGCTGACCTGCTTTATGAGTTTTCACAGTCGTGTAGATGGCTGGTTTATCCTGGTTTGACCTCATTCACTCTTTAAACAGTCTTTACATGTTGGTTTAAATCATTTATATTTTTAGATTCAGAATAAAACACATTTCAGATTAGAAACACTGCTTTTTTGTCTTCTCTGTTCATAACTTAATAATTGCCTTTAAGTGCAGCTGGTCTGCAGGCAGATGAGTCTAATTGAAGGTTATTTTCAGTGGTAACTTCAGCCACATCCAGGCTGATAATCTCCTCACATTTGACGGTCAGAGGGAATGAAACGTCCTGATGACGACGGCAGCTGAAGAAAATCCCACTCCTAATGCAAACGAGCATCAAATCCTCTGACAACGTGACGCAGCTGGAGGCTCGTGGAGGAGCGTGCGGGGGTTAGATGGAGTGATTTGATTTCTCTTGGATGGGGTTAAAAAAACCGAGGGATGCCAAATGGATTCACTCACCTGGGCTCACCTGGTGTGTTTGGCAGTGAAGCAGCTCTCATCCTCCTCCCTTGTCTCTTCTTTGACCGTTCAGCCCTGAGCTCTGACCATGAAGACCAGGACCCTGCTGTCGGTCACCCTGAACTTCTTCGCCCTGTTCTTCGCCGTGACCGCCTTCATCACGACGTACTGGTGCGTGGGGACCCAGAGGGTCCCCAAGCCYAAGTGCAGCAAGCTGAGGACCCACCACTGCATAGACTACGGGGTGAACGAGACGGACCCCAACAAAGTGGTTTACAGCTGGGAGACCGGGGACGACCGGTTCCTGTTCCGACAGTTCCACACTGGGATCTGGTTTTCCTGCGAGGAGAACATCCACGATGAAAGTAAGGCCAGGTGTGTGTTCGTGTGTGTGTGTGTGTGTGTGTGTGNATTTCATACTTTTAACTGTGACTTCTTCTGTTTGTCTGATTTTGCTTAGAACAGGATTGTAAATGTCTGAGGTCACATCCTTCCTGCTGAGATCAGACTTTAAAGCTTTAAATTGCAGCTGTGTTTGTATGTTTGTGTGTGTGTGTGTGTGTGTGTGTGTGAGTGTGTGTAAATTAATTTATTTCAATTTATAAATACTTGCACAAAAAAATAACAGTATTAAATTGACATTGTGTAATTTAACACCGCCACATCTGCTGTGTGTTCTGAATGACTCTSAGCTACTATCACGCTGAATTTCAGCTCAGTTTTTGTAAAATTAACTGAATTATAGTCCTTTTTGTGTTTTCTACACTCAGTTGGCTGTGACAGCCATCTTGAATTGGACTAGCTCCAAAAGTTATTCAGTTGTAAAGGTAAGACTAGTGAATATTTGCTGTCTGTTTGCAAAATATCCAAGCAGTGGTTCATGAGATATTTTTGCTAACAGACAGACAATTGACTCCAAATGGTTAATGGTAACATTTAAACAGTTCTGGCCCAATCTGTGTTGAATGTGCTGTGGATCAGTTTCAGCTACTACTCTAATAAATTTGATGTAATGGTCATTACAACCATCTTGAATCTGGTTGACGCCAGATGTAAATCAATTTTAGTTGATGATTGCATTCTGCAAGTTTCATTAGATTATGTTCATGAGATATGTTGCTAACACAGACAGACACATGCAAATGCAAAAACAAGTTTGTGCTTATCAATGTTGGGAGATAAATGTATATCAAAGCATCACATTTTTATATTCCAGGCTGTGGAAGGCTACTTTGCAGCCTCTACGTTTGCATTTGTATTATTTTCATTTCTCGGAATAAAGATTTGAGCTTTTCTTGTAATATTCTTCATCCTGACAGAAAAGAGATTGTCCTTTCTGACAAAATGAAAATATGTTATTTAATTTCAGTTTTGTTTACCTTCCTTTCAACGCTCGTCTAAATTTTGACACATTTATGTTGGTGGTAATGTTCAGCCTTTTTTCCACTTGTGCTGTTTTTTTTAACCCTTTATAATAAGGTGCAGAACAAACATCTGCATTTCAAATGTTCTGAATGAACTCATTAACAGAAGGCTTTAAATGTCTGAACTCTGAACAGAACCGGATTCTTTCCAGACAGAAACTGTGAATGTTGTTCGCAGAAGCGACTGAACAGCCTGACTTAATGAAGATTATGTAACTCGTGTCTTGATGAGTTTTTCCTCAAAACAGCTGTTGCCGCCCTCCTTCCACCTGATTAAAGAGCTCCATTTACAACAAATCCTGTGACAGGACCCAGCAGCCGCCAGATGACAGAAGGAGGTTGTCATTTGTGCAGGAATCCAGGGGGTCAGGGGTCATTTGTTGTCTATCCTGTTTGGTAAACTGACCCAGGCTCTCAGTAGATGCTTCCATCTTTGAGCGGCCTGATTGGTTTTACAGTACACTGATTTTTTTTTTCTTTTTCACAACATCTGGTGACACAGAATGAGAGATCAGAARCGTGTGCCTGCATATGCCTCATATTCAGTGTGGAGTTTATTCATTTTCTGAGGTTGTGAACTTTGATGTTTGTTGTTGTTGCTGTGAGGATTTACAGGATCACACTTTCAGCTCAAGTTGTCAGACACACCTGGACAGAAACAGTGACAACATTTAGGACTCAGCTTTTAAAACATCATTTAAGTAATAGGAATGTTTCATAAACTCKTGATTTCCTGAACATCTACCATCATTAGAAATTAGTCCTGTCATGACGTTATTTGTTTTTCTGTTTTTCTCTAAGGTGAGAGATGTCGAAGTTTCATTGATTTAGCTCCTGCATCAGAAAAAGGTGACTATCTTTTACTCATCTTCAGAAGCAAACATTATCTTTACTAATCCATTATAATGTGGTTATAACATGGTTATAACATGGTTAAAAACAAAGTTATAACRTGATTAGAAGCACAGTTATAACATKTCAGRAACACAGTTATAACATGGTTATAACATAGTTAAAAACATGATTGTAACATAGTTAGAAAGACATTATAACATGGTTATAACGTGGTTAAAAAACATGGTTAAAAACAGTTTTAACATGTTAGAAACACCGTTATAAAATGTTAGAAACACAGTTAACATGGTTATAACATGGTTAACAAAGTTATAACATGATTAGAAACGTATTATAACATGGTTAAAACACAGTTAGAAACACAGTTATAACATAGTTAGAAACACGTTATAACATGGTTATAACATAGTTATAGCATGGTTAGAAACACTGTTATAACATGTTAGAAACCCAGTTATAACATTGTTATAACTTGGTTATGAACATGGTTAAAACATGGTTATAAATGTTCTAACATGGTTATAACATAGATAAAAACACAATTATAACATAGTTAGAAAGACATTATAACATGGTTATAACA